TTTCATTTTAAAAGTTGCAGGACTTTAGAAAGTGAAGTAAATGTACTCAGTAAAGTAAAATGAGTTTGGTTTTAAGTATGAGATGATGTGGAGTATTCAGTGAAAGTAAGCTTGTAGTAGGGATGGCGGAGGGACTGAAAGAGCTGTGAGTTAATAGCACAGAAGTAATCTCTGAAGTTACTAAAATGGCCTCTGAAAATAAAGTAATGGAGTACACTGTGCAGAAGAATGCAAACTGAGCACAACAGGGCGTGTAAAACAATTAGTCAGCAATGGGGTGAGAGTAAGGGCTAGAGTGAGAGTGAGAAATGAATGGAGGGAGAGGGAGAGACTGAGGTGAGGGTAAGGAATGGGAAAAAAAGCCAAGGATGAAATAAGGATCAAGTATCTTGTACACTCTCTGGTAACTGACCTGCCCATTTTGACATGTATTTTTTTAAAATTTAATTTTATTGTGGTATAATATATATAATACAGTAAAACTTTTGCCATTTCAACCATTTTTATGTGTAGAACTCAGAGACATTATGTTAACCATGTTATGTAAATATCACCACTATCCCTTTCCAAATTTTTTCATCACCTTTAACAGAAACTCAGTGCCCCTTCAGCAATACCTCCCCATTCCCTTCCACTTGCCTCTGGTAACCACTCATAAACTTTGGTCTCTAGACACTTGCCTATTCTGGATATTTCATATAAGGGGGGTCATTGATCAAGTTTTTACATCGAAGTCTGTATAATATAGGGCAGTCCTCAATCAGAAGCCACTGTGGGAGACGAAAGAGGCATTGTCAGGAAAGCAATACAATTAGGCCGAAGGTTGAGAGTTTTAAGAAAGGTGTTCAGCAGAGCCGAGAGCTTCTAAAAAGTCAAGGAAATTGGGGATGACAAAAGACTATTGGATCTACCAAAGTTGGGACCTGAAGAATTGGGATCTATGTAGTGATAAGAGCTAGGGGTGCTAGGAAGGAGGCAAGTGAGGCAGCTCCAGAAGTGTGGGGTGCTGCCCACATAGCTGAGAAGCTGCTGAGTGAATGGAGAGGAACATGTGGGTGGCTGGACAACGAAGAAGGACAGAAGGGAGCCCTGGAGTAGCAGGGGCTGAAGGTGTGGGTGGCAGTGGTTTGTACAGGAGGAGTCCCTCAGCAGCCATGTGGATAAACAAGGTACAGAAAGCTGCTGAGTGTGATTAAGAGGCAGATGGATACAGATAAAAGGTATCTTGAGGTAGAGAAGAGATGAGAGAGCACATAAAATAATCAGATTGTTAGGCCTCACTTCTTTACTCTCAACTGTAACCTAAACTGAAAGGCCTTTAGGACATCCAGAACCTGAATCAATTATCCTTGGGTGACCCAAAGGCCTCCCCTTCAAAACCTGCTGACCCCAGTGTTTCCAAAGGAAGATGTGAAGTTTTAGAAAGAGGCAGAGTGATGAGGCCAATGTGCACGTTTAGCATCTAGGAGTCCTGGACTCTGCTGGACCTGTGTGGATGGTGTGATCTCACCAGACCTAACACAATTGGGGTTTCATTGGTTTTGAAGAACTCACAGATAAGGTAGTATTATTTTGGGTAGCAGAGGCACCGCTGGTCAGAACAAAAAGAATTTAGACTGTGTGTGGAAGGGGTGTAAAGATAATCAAGTAATGCAAAATAATTCCTATTGGCCTTTGGAATGCATCTTGACATTCTCATTTGAAAAGGGTAAGTTATGATCTGAAAATTTACTGTGGACCAAAGCCAGAAGCTATGCCAGGAAGATTCAACTGCAAAGGGCTTCCTTATCCTGATCCTTCGTAAACACCTCTAACTCCCTCACTGTAAGGTTATCCAGGGCATAATCTAAAGGGAGTAGGGAGTAGGTAAAGGTTGTATTAGTTTTCATATTTTAATTTGGGCCTTTAAGTCTAGGTGTTATGCTAAGTATAAATATGTATATAGATATTTTTTTAATTTGCATTTTTCTATGGTTTCCTGTGACTTGAATTGGTGCAAAAAGGGACAGCTTGGCTTTATATGGGATGCAAACCAGAGTGACTAATCAGATGGCTACAAACCAGATGGAAGTGGATGAAAGAACCCAATCCTGTTTAGATTCAGGGATCCCTTGTTGTTGTTGTTGTTATGTGCCGTCATCTCCGCCCCAAAGCGACCCTTCCTTGGGTTTTCGAGGCAGTATCACTACGGAAGTAGATTGCCCCCATCTTCCTTCTGAGGAGTGGCTGGTGGATTTGAACCACCAACCTTCTGGTTAGCAGTCAAGTGCTTTAGGCATTATGCCACCAGAGCTCCCATGTTATGTTATGTGCCGTCGAGTCGGCCCCGACTCATAGTGACCCCTTCTTGGGTTTCCGAGGCAGTATCACTACGGAAGTAGGATTGCCCAACCTTCCTTCCGAGGAGTGGCTGGTGGATTTGAACCGCCAGCCGTCTGGTTAGCAGGCAAGTGTCTTAGCCACTATGCTACCAGAGCTCCCATAGGGGTCTAAATATAAGGGAAATAAGTGAGTTTTGTTAGAATCATATGAGGACTACATGGGATGACCTTCCTCTTAGAACTGAGGGCTACATAAACTCGTTTCCATTTTGCCCTGCCCCTTTACTCTCAATTTATTAGGTCTTTCCTCTGGGAGCCATTAAAATGTTTTTGTTTAGAAGGCTTTTCTAGAGCTTCCTCTTGCATAACACACAGTGGTTCTAACACTAGGGTAAGAACAGAGTGGGATGGCTTGAAACTTACTTGAGAAGAGGCTGCAGTTGCAGAAGAAGTGAGAGAACAGGTACAGGCAAAAGCACAGGGATCTCAGGGTCGGGTCAGCGCAAGTGAAAACTCCTGTTCTCAGGCCCCACCTGGGGCAGGACACAAGAATGTAAACTCAACAAATTATCCAGGCAAGCCGACTTTGAGCCAGTGAGCTAGTTACTTCTCTTCACAACAGATGAGGAAACTGAGGCTTGGAGAGGGTAGCTGGCCCAAGACAATATGGTGAGTTTGGGGCAGGTATGGGACCAGAGCCTGGGGCTCTGACACTGACCATGGTGTGCCTTCCTCTGAAGCGCTTGAGTATTGTATGAGGACAGCTTTCTACCCTGTTGGCTTGGCTTTAGTGTACTCACAGAGTTGTACAACTGTTATCACTAATTCCAGAACTCATGGTGACCCTAAGCATGTAGAGAAGAACCGTACTCCATAGGGTGTTCATGGCTGTGGCCTTTTAGAAGCAGATTGTCAGGCCTCACTTCCGAGGTACCTCTAGGTGGGTTTGAGTTGCCAACCTTTATGGTTAGCAGTGTGGCATTTAACCATTTACATTACCCAGGGCCTCCCTGGCCTGTTTTTAAATGAACACTGACATGTTAGAATGCAGTACACACTAAGCCAGTTTCATTCTTATCTTCCTGGAAGGCAGCTATGCTCACCACTATACCACCAGCGCCATTCTCATCTTCTTTATTCTTTGCCTGTTCCCAACTCCCATATTTTCTCTGGATGCCCTGAACCACCACAGAAATAAACTTGTTCTTCTCAATTATCTGTGCAAGTTCAGGGACATGAAACCCAAAGATTACCTCATCCCAGAGCTGCCTCACCAGAGATTTATATCTTGTTTATTTACTGAGAGGATGACAGGTTTGAAATCATCAGCACTGCTCTGGGATAGGTAAAGGGAGGAGGCTATTGCTTCCTGGTAGTTCATGGTCTACTGCCAAGGCCCTAGGACATGCTCAGAGCAGACAGTGAGGTTCGGGTTTGTTATAACATGGGGGGAGTCAGACTCAAAACAGGACAGAGCCTTCCCCTTCCTCTCTCACCCAAGTAGGCCAACTGGTGCCAAATTGCTTACAACAGACTAAAGTAGAAGGCACTTTGTATACCCATAGCGGCTGCTTAATAGCACAATATGCTTCTCCCCAACAGACCTTTTAGGGAGTTCTTTGCAGGTAAAGGAGCATAACTTTAATGGGTTAAGAAGCAACTTATATTTGGAGATTTCCCTTTCTGTATCCAAATCTTTTGCTTTAGGCTGGCCAAAGGGCCACTTCTCTGGCCGTCACATTCCAGAACTGTTTCCCTCCACTCTTCCTAGAATGAGAGAGGTCAAAGTGGTCCCTGTAGTCAGTCCCATCTCAGAAGATGGTCAGCTCAGCTCAGTTTTCCCCCTACCCTCTGCCATTCTAGATGTTCCCTCCGTAAGACTGAATGGACCTTGGCCTCTGGATTCTGGTGGCATGGAACCCACCTGTTACTTAATTCTAGGGGGAAACAAGTGGTTGAGGGCTTTTTGTTCACCCCCTGAAACAATGAGGGAAGGCTTGGCCTGAGGTATTTTAAGTGGATCCCAAATAGACTTGGCATCCAGCCTCACAAAGGGAAGTAGTTAAGCTGGTCCATGCAGAGGGAAGTGGCATACCAGGTGTGCCTTCCATGCACCCAACTTAAGGCTCTTCTTGGTGACTGAGGGTGGAGGAGAGGAGCCAGGTGTCATAGCACATCATGCTGGTATCTTCAGAAGGCAAGAATGCTACTTGGCAGAGGAAGGAGTAAGGAGTACATGTCATGCTGAAAAGGAAAGTATTTTCTTAGTGCACGTCTCTACATGGTATAAGCCACATCTACATATGAAGAGAGATGTGCAGAGAACTACAGAAACCCACATGCCACTGATGGGTCTAGATGACTGCTCCATGTGCCTCTCTGAGGTGACAACTCCTTATACACCAGGGAGTCGAGGACTGTCTAAACTGAGTCCCAGCTGTTTGACACAACTGCCTTTCCCATTTATTTCACACTCACCTATGAAGGAGGACACATTCCAGAGAGCTCTGAAGTCTCTGTTATGATTTGCCAGCCCTGTGAGATGTACAGCCCCATAGGTAAGCTGTAATAGTCAAAGTGGCAACAGGAGTGTCCCCTTACTGATTCTGGGGCTTGAGATCACAGCCAAGGATGCTTTGGATGGTTGCCATGAAATCAGAAAGAAAGTGGGAAAGGTCCAGTTTAAAAGCCAGAATATATTTTGCTGAAAATATACATATGCGTGTGCCTTCAAGAGTGTGTGCTTCCTGAGGGAGACTTGCACAGTTTGTTAAAACATAAAACAATGGGTTCACTCAGTAGAAAACTAGCAGCATCATTTTGGATCCTGGGGCCTTGCCCAGGGGTGGTCATCAGGCAGTTTGCTCCGTGCTAGTGGAGGGCATTCCCGGCCAGCACCCCTATAACTCATCCATCATGGCGAGCAAATCATCTCCCTTGTTGGTGCTCCATCGTGGTTGGTCTGTGATCTCAAACTCTCCCATGATCCGAGTCAGCTCTTCATTCCTTTGCTGGTCCTGTTAGAGAAATGAAAGGGAAAGGAAGTGAGGAGGACGTATCAGCAGACTGCCTCTTTGTGCAGTAGGTATTTTGTGTCCCATCACTGAAATGCATTTAAGTTCCTCACTGATTGTCAGGATAAGGACTGTAGTTAACACACAGTGCAGATTCAAGAGAAGTGGGGGTGGGGCTCAAAGTTATTACAAGACAAGGAGGGGACTAAGATTTGACCCTGGGTAATCCCTTGCACAAAGAGCTCTGGTGGCATAGTGGATAAAACATTCTGGCTGCTAACCAGAAGGTTAGTGGTTCAAAGCCACCAGTGGCTCTGCAAGAGGAAGATGAGGTTATCTACCGTAAAGATTTACAGCCTTGGAAACCCAGTGGGGGTCACTATGAATCAGAATCGACTTGATGTCAGTGGAATCTCTTGCACATACCTGGGTAGCTTGTATGTTGATAACTTCATAGGATAATTCTTCTGGCCTAGTTAAAGCTGCTTGTCTAGATGAGATGGTAATGAAAAGGGTCACAGGTTAGGCAGGGCTTTTTCCCTGCTAGCATGACAAGCTGGCTCTTGATAATTTGACCACTTTTTTTTTTTTTTTTCCCGGCTTCATCTTCTGCATTTCCCTTTAACTTTTCACCCTACATCCAGAAAGCCAAGTTCTCCTGCATCTCTGTGCCTTTGCACATACTAAACTCTGCCAAGATTGCTTTCCCCTTCCTCTGCTTGGCAACGCCAAGACCTAGCTCAAATGACAGCTCATCTAATCTACCTGTGTAAAGTCAGACACTCGATCCTCAATTAGAGCATTTATGACTCTAAATGAAATAGCTTAAGTACATGTTTATTCTCTCACTAAGCTGGGAACTTACTGAAGACAGGGTCTAGGTCTTACACTTCATCTTTGTACCACAAGCACTTACAATAGTACCTGCCACACAGAAGTGCACAAAAGAAATTAGTTACCTGAGTAGGGAAAGAGATGGCAACCCTGACCCCAAATATTTGTTGTGAGGAGGATCAAATGAAAGAAGGAATTCAAAAGTGCTTTGTAAACTGGAAAGCACTTGTCAATCTTGGTGAATTACCATCACTATTAGTTTTAGATAAGATATACTTAAGTAGTCTGTTACTAACTGAAAAATTGACAGTTCAAATCCACCCTGAAGTGTCTCGGAAAAAGGCTTGGCAATCTACTTCCCAAAGATCACAGCCATTGAAAACCTTACGGATCACAGGATTACAGCTCTACTAAACACAGGGCGTTACCATGAATTGCAATCGACTTAATGGCAACTGTGTTTTTTTGTTTGTTTGTTTGTTTGGGTCTAATCCCAAAGTCATCAAGCTCTGTCTTCTTGTTTAGATCTACTCTGCTAAGTGAAAAATTAGAACTCTTTTGTGAACAATTCTAGAAGATTCTAGCAATTTAATCTTGATGAATTCATCTTTAGGCTATTGAATTTGCTAGTATTTCATTTGTGATTTTTACTTCTGCACTCCTGTTACTGGTTTATGACTGTCACTTTTTTGGTTCTTATCAAACTTAGGAAAAAAAAGTATATGTGTATATATATATGTATATGTGTATCTATCTATCTACCTATCTATCTATCTGTATCTTAACAACAGGTTTCAGACTTACTCTTCTTCTTCATCAGTGGTAAAGAGATTCAACTGGAATCCTGGCTCGGGGCCACTGGGTTTCTTAATCTCCATTCCTCCCATCAGCCTGGCCAAGAAATCCAGCTCTTCTTTAGCAAGAGGATTTGGAGCAATGCTTTCCTACAGAAACAATTTCATGAATTTCAGCCACATGAAGGGAATAGCATTTCCTGCTAAAGACCCCAGAGATCCAGTGCAGTATTATGAAACAAGGTAAAACAATAACTGTCTAAATTATTTCTGGGAAGAACTGGGTCCAAATAAAGCTTAAGAAAACAGGCTTAACCAAAAGAAAACTAATCCACGTCACAAACAGAGGGACTCTAGCAAGGCAGCAAACCAGAAACCTTCACACTTTCAAGATGAGTGGAAGGCCCCAGGAATCCAAGATTCTTCTCAAAAGACCTTCCTCCTTGGAAGAGAAAAGCATTGCTTCCTTGCAGAGTCAGTGCAGTTCCCTCCGCATTTTCATTTACCCACAACAAAGTCTCTAGTTCGAGAGTATTCATGCCATAGGAGCTACCACACTGCCCCCAGGTGGTGACAGTCCTGAATATACCCTCGAGTCCATCCTGTCCTCTCACTGTGGCCACCCTATTTCAGCCTTCCTGCTCCTCTGCCTCTTCTATCACTCTGCCTCCTGCCTAAAAAACAAAGCACAAATTAACACCACATTCAAACCCTTTGTAATCAGGCCCCAATAGCCTTGTTGAGTCATATGTCTGCCTCAATTATGCTATGATCTACCCATGGGGGCGGGGGAGACCCTGTCTCCCTGCTTCCCCTCAACGTGATGCTCCTTTTCCCCTCTGTGCCTTTGCTCATACTGTTACCTCAGTCTGCACACTCTTTTCTCCTTCTCTGTTATTTCTTATCCTACCTACTCTTTAGAGCTCCACTTATGTATCACCTTTTCTGAAAAGTCTTTCTTTTTTTCTTAATTGTGATTTGGGTGAAAATTTACAGAGCAAATTCACTTTCCATACAGCTGTTCACATACACTTTGTCTCATGACATCAACCACAATTTACCACAATGCAATAGCTCCCCTCCCACTTCCTCCTGATAGTTACCTCTTCCCTGTGTCCATCCCTCCATGCACTCCTGCTCCTTGAGCTCTCTCCCTGTGCATAAACAGCCTTTCTTTCTCCCATGATTGTTCTCTACAAGGAGTGCATCTACCTCAGGTAAATGTTTAACTCATATCTGAAAAGTCTTCTTGATCCCTATCCTCTGCTCTTCACCCCAGGGGACAGAATATACTTTCTTCCAGGCCCGGTATGGTACTTTGTTCAGAATACCCAGCTAGCTCTTCTTACACTGTGTTATGGTTATTTCTTTCTCACTGTCTTTCCCAGGGTACTATACCCCATTTGGGAGCTCTCGTAGCATAGTGGCTAAGGCACTTGACTGCTAACCAGAAGGCTGGCGGTTCAAACCCACCAGCCACTCCTCGGAAGGAAGATGGGGCAATCTACTTCCATAGTGATACTGCCTCGGAAACCCAAGAAGGGGTCGCTATGAGTCGGGTCCGACTTGATGGCACACAACAACAACATACCCCATTTAGGATGGGATCACATCTCCATCAGCTTTGTATTCCTGGGTACCCAGGCCACAGATGCAGTTCAATAAATTTTGCTGAATAATGGAATATTCCATGATTTGTCCTATAGACAGCAAGTAGCTAGTTCAGTGAAAATTTATAAAGACAGAATTCAGAGAACCTAAAATCCCATTTTGACCTTAGTTACCACATCACTATAGAGGAAATCGCTAAAAAGAGATGCTTTATACAGTACTGCATTGTCAGTGAAGGCAAACATGGGTATATGGATGAATAGATGGGTGGACAGGCTGAACTATTAGGTATGTCTATGAAATAGGGAGTGTATCCAAGAATATGTATAGGGTTGGCAGACAATGGTCCTATAAGTTTATGTGAATGATCAGAATTTCCAGGTATATAGTAGAGCTGACAAGGGGCAAGGTTGTGGATACTGCTTGGTCACAGCCAGCTACCCAGAGGGATCAAGCAGTTGAACCTGTAGACTTGGGACCACAGCTGCAGGGGACATCAAGCTCAACTGGCGTAACATACTTATAAAACATTGTTCCACCTCCTACTTTGATGAGTAGCGACTAGGATCTTAAAAGCTAGCAAGCTGCCATCTAGATCCAACGATGGATCTCTCCTTGTCCAGAGCAAAGAAGAATGAAGAAAACCAAAATTCATGGAAACAATTAGTCCTAGCGACTGGTACACCACCCAATCTGCAGCCTATATGACTATGAGACCAGAAGAACTAGATGGTGTACCATTGTCATCCACTTGGAAGGGGATCTATGTAGGAGATCCTTGATAGAGAGGGAGAACAATGTGGAACAAAACTCAAAATCATTTGGAGAAAAAAAAAAAAAAAAAAATGGGGGGGAGGGACCAGGTTTGGTGGTCCGATAGAGCCTAAAATTACCTAATTAGATCACTAGAAGTCTCCATGAGAAATGACAATTAAAAACCCGTGTTCTTCAAACAAATCTGAGTTCTTGTAAGGCTGAGTGGAGAAGATTGCAACCAATGAGGGAAATGACGTCTAAACTGTTCCCATCCTTGTCCCTATGCACGTTTTAAATCTAGAATTAAGCTCAGAAGGTAAGTAAGGAGGCAGATGCTTACCTCTGTCCGTGAAGCTAAGTTCTTTGATGCTCCAGACATATGTGTTTCCACAGGTCGATTCACACTGTACCTGATGTCAAAAAGAAAATGGTGCAAATGTTATTCAGCCGTTTATAGTGAACTCCTAATTCATAGGCATAATACACAGTTTATTCTGAGGCATTAAATAGCATCCAGAAAGGTGCTGGGAGTATAGAATACAATTCAGTGGGTGTCAGCCTCTCAGGTTTCACTTCTTCCCAAAGAAAACTACTTGGGAAAGCTGAATGGAAATGGCTGCTCTTGTAGAGGAATGTGTTTCACTGAAAAAACATGTAACATTACATGAAAGCCAAGTCCTTCTGGATTTCCACTGCAAAAATAAGTTTTTAGCTGGTTTTCTTTTGTGACTATTTAAAATTTTTAACCTGTTGTGTTACCTTATGTTTGGGTTTCTTGGGTGCTCTTTGAAAATGTCAGGGCTCTATGTGCATTGTTGCTATGGGGACATCATCACTCTACTTGTCAGCAGGTATTTTCATAGAAGTCAAGCTGGTTGTTTAAATGAAATGACCTCCCTTGGACTTGAATTCACTCAGGGAGGGAGAATTTGCTTACATGTTAGTTCCCAGTTTCAGGACTCGGTCTCCATAAAGCTCAAAAGAACCCTCTTTTGGTGCAGGGACATAGTTCCCACCATGCTTGAATTCGACCTTCTTCACTTCTTCCCCTCTACCATTGAACATTCTGCAATACAAAGTACGACATGATGGAGTCTTATCCAAGCTTGGATAGTCCTGGAGGCTTTTTTTTTATTCTTTGTACTATGAGACAAAAAGGAATTCATGCACTCTTTCAAGATAAAGATGCTTGTTTAGAGCATCTGGTTATGGTAATAAAAATAATACTGTAACAATAAGTGATGTTTATTGAGCCCATGTAATGTGCCAGGTGCTGCAGAAACACTTTACAGCCCTATTATTCATCCTCACTGTCACCATAGCACAGATGAAGAACTCAGCTCTGAAGAACTGGATGGCCTGCAGGCTACTGGTGGACCCAGGATTAGGACCTGACCTCTTAAATGCTGTTCTTAATTGAGGAAAGGAAGAGCCCGAGCAGAGCCGGGGGGGGGGGCGCCTCAGCAGTGCTGCACTCTCTGTGGGGCCTACACGGAGGTTTCCTGGCACCTGACATGTTGACAATCACTGTTAAGAATTCACCTGATGAGTCCGGGAACTTCAGTTCCCCAGGGAACAGGCCCGGACACTGGCAACACAAATCGACCATTAGAATTTTGAACTTTGTCCTTTAGAAATATGGATACCTGGGGGGGAAAGATACGGTTATTGTCATTTTCCTTATAATGTTCTCATAGACATAAGCATTCTGAGAATAGAAAGTGTGTAATGGCTCTGGAATGTAAGAACTGAGTTTACAACAATAACAAGAGAGAGACATAGTAACCAGCACCTGCACATTATGGGGTTTTCACTACAGAACTTCTTCTTCAATCGCACAGCAGCCTGCTAAGTGAGTTCTGTTATCCCATTTTACACATGAAGAAGCCGAGGCTCACAGGGCAAAGTGACTTGCCCCAAGAGAAAAGTAAGAGGTAGCCAGGATTCAAAACCAAGGCTGACTCCAGATTCCACACCTGCTCCATAGTTGCCTGTGAACTTTTCACACAGTGAGTCGGCTTGAGCTATCTCATCAGCCCCATTTTATGGGTGAGGACTCTAGCTCAGAGATTCAGACACGCAGGGTCACCCAGCTCACAATGACTACAGCTGGGGATTTAAACCAGGTCTACAAACAGGTTCATTTAGGTTTGACCCTCCTGCTGAAAATCCACCTTCCCACCCCATATACTGAATTAAAACCTACAAAGTAACAAGATCTGCAGGTGATTCTTGTTACAATGTAGGTTCTGATTCCATATACCTGAGGGAGAAATTTTCAGCAGGGGTACAAACTAGAATGAACTGGTTCAAAGGCCTGGTTTAAATCCCCAGCTCTGCTTTAGATTCCTATGGTTTTGACGCTGGAGCCTGAGTTCTCACCAAGTGCTGATGAGAAGCTGGTCTGGAGCAGGTGGGGCCAGTTGCTGTAAGAGTTTAAAGGGCGTTAATATGACTGGAGACACCACTTTATGCATATTTCTACTCCCTGTTTGAGTGACTCAGTTTAAATGCGATAAAGATGTAGCAGTTAGCCAGTCTCACTGGGTCTTAGCTTCCTCATCTGTAAAATGAAATAAGTAATCTTGAAGGTACTTCCCAACTCTAAAATCCTACAAGTCTACATTGGTAATATCAACAATAAGCCTCTGTTGTGTGCAAAGCAATGAAAATACAAAGTGATAACAGAACTTGTAAGCTGGCAGGATGAATATTGACGTCAGACAGTCTAGGCTCAAATCTCTGCTGGGCCACTTCCTGGCTCTGGGTGTTTGGTAAGTTACACAACCTTTCTGTGCATCAATTTTCTCTGTGGTAAACTGAGGTTAATAGCAGTACATACTTAAGGGGTTACTGTGACATTAAATCAGATAATGTATTAAAAGCTATTATCATACAGCCAGACACATCATTAAGTGCTCAATAAATAAGAGCTCATATTCTTATCACTATACCAGATAAAAAGTAAAAAGAAAAACAAAACAAAACAAAAACCAACCAACCAAATCCAAAACATTACACAGCAGAATATGCTAAACAGTATATTATCCCATTGTGGAGAATGACTATAGGCATGGCAGTGGGCGGGTAGGGATCACTGTGGGCTTGAAGCTGGGTTGGGGAGGAAGGTGGGTATAGAGATGGCAGAGATGGGCACAAGACATGTTTTGGGGGGATGAGTAAACTAGTTTGGTCAGAAGGTTTGGCTGGATGGCCTTTAAGGACTTTTGAACTTTGAGATCCTGTGAGCAAAGGATGTGAGTACAGGCATGGAGAGAGAAAACTGGGAGGGAGAAGTGGGAATATATACACTTGTTGGACCCTCTGCTGGCCTAATTCTAGTAAGGTTGACTATGTCATAGTAGAGCTGAAGTGTACAAATTTAAAAGTCATGTGTGCATCTGTTTTCGACCTGAGAATCTGCCCTCCACTGGAAGGACTGTTTGTCTGCTTGCCCAGCCCCTCTGCTGGCCCTTACCCGTGATTCTTCTGTACCCTGTCCTCTCACCTCATCTTTTCTTTCCAAGGATTATCTCATCTGTTCCCATAACTCAGTGTTCACCTCCATGCTGATGGCTTCCAAATCTTGAGCTCCCACTCAGCCATCTTTCCTGGGGGTCTGACCCATCTCTTTTATTGTCTATTTGACATGCCTACTGGTAGGTTCCACAGGATGCAATTCAAATTCACCCTGCTCAGAACAGGGCTCATCATTTGTCTTCCCAAACCCGCTTCTCCTCCAGAGTTCCCAGTTTCAGTGAAGGACCCAATCTCAGTCAGTGGTCACCAAGTCAGCACCCATCACCTTCCCAAGTCTATTCAGTCCCTAAGCCCTGTCAATCTCTTTGGTAAACTGGGGTTTAATGATCAACCTTATGATCACTTCTTTTATACGGCTCCTCCTCCTCACCTCAACTACTGCTCCCCAGTACAGACATGTACCATCTCTTGCCTGGCACACCGTAGGTGCCTCCTAACTGGTCTTCCTGCCTCCCTTTCTTTAATTCATCCTCTTATCTGCAGCTAAAGAGATTCTTCTAGACTCATAGCTGACCATGACCCTCTGTGCTCAAAACCTTTCAGTGTTTCTCCGCTGCTCACCAGATAATGTCCCCACTACACTCAACTAATTGCAGCCCTCCTCCTCCACAAATAGATGAGGCAGTTACACGCCTCTGTGCCTTTTCTGAGATGATGTTCTTTGCCGCGGGTGTCATTCTTCGCCCCTCCCCTTGCTTTCCACATGTCTGGTGAAAACCCCTTTCTTTCAAAACGTACCAGATCTTCTATGAAGACTTGGCTAATTCCCTTTGGTAGAACCCTCTCCTTTGTACCCTGTCTACACTCTTCTGAGGATTAAATGTCTGTGAGGCACTTACTGTGCTGCCCCCCCTTCTCTGATGAGTTCCTTGAGGACAGGGATTGTGTTTCCTATGGAAAGAAGAAAGGCATGTCACTGAGCTGTGAGGCTGAAATGCTGGAGAAGACAGCTCAACAGACACTCATGTTCCCCAGGATGATGTCGGGACTCCAGCAGGGAGGAGGAGAGTGACTGTGGTTGAGGGACTTGGCAATCAGCTTAAGTGGTGCGCTAGGTATGTATACTGAGTGAGTACACCTGTGCTCACTGAGTACAGGGCTTTGCATAGTGGTAAGGTTCATGGTAGGAGCTGTGGTGGTGAAGTGGATAAGGCACTTGATTGCTAACTGGAAGGTCAGTGGTTCAAACCTACCACCCATTCGTGGAAGGAAGATGGGGCGATCTACTTTTGTAAAGATTTACAGCCTCAGAAACCCAATAGGGGTCGCTATAAGTCAGAAACGATTTGATGGCAGTGAGTTTGGTCTTTGGTTTTTAAGGCAGGGCTTCCAACTGGGTTATTCCAGTTCAACCCCCTGCTGAGAATTTGCATTTCCACGCCAGATATACAGTACTGCATCAGAATCTACATTTTAACAAGATGCCCAGGTAATTCTTATAGATCTTCTGTATACATAAGAATCACCTGGGGATTTTGTTTAAGTGTAGATTCTGATTCAATATACCAAAAAAAGCCACACTCACTGCCATCGAGTTGATTCCGACTCATAGGGACCGCCATTAGGTTTCCAAGGCTGTGAATCTTTATGGGAGCAGACTGTCTCATCTTTCTCCCATGGAGCGGCTGGTAAATTCGAACCTCCAACCTTTTTTGGTTAACAGTTGAATGCCTTAACCACTGCACCACCCACAGCTCCTTAGTATATGGGGAGCAGGGTGGAAATGCAAATTCTCAGCAGAAAGTCAAGCCAGAATGAAGCGGTTCAAAGCCCTGGTTCATGGTCTCACCTGAAGAGAGCTAAGTCTGTGAGGGTGGGAAACTGGCAGAAGCTGACCCTGCTTCTCTTATCTGGCCTTCAGATGAGGGAGGATGATCAGCCTCCACCAATAGAGAGAAGACTTCAAATATCATCTATATGCTGTGTGCTGAGGAATCTCACATTGATGCCCCAGCCTGTACCTCTTCCCTGAGCTCCAGATTTAGATTTGTATCACTACTTGGGTCACATCCAGAAATTGCTACTTGGGTGCCTAACAGGCAAGTCAAATTTAACTATTAATTTTTCTACCTAAATATACTTCCTCATCTCAGTAAATGGCACCACCAGTTGCTCAGGACAAAAACTTAGTACTGTCATTTTTATTCTTCTGTCTCTCATTCTCCACATCCAATCTCTTGGTCAGTCTTTTTGGTCTTGCCCAAAGGTATATCCCAAATGTGAACCAAACCAAAACCCAGTGTCATCATGTTGATTCCGACTCATAGTGACTGTATAAGACAGAGTTAAATCACCCCATAGGATTTCCAAGGCTGTAAATCTTTATAGAACCAGACTGCTTCATCATTCTCCTGTGGAGTGGCTAGTGGATTTGAATCGCTGACCTTTTGGTTAGCAGCCAGATGCTTTAACCACTATACCACCAGAGCTCCTTCAAGGGTGAACATTTCTCACTGTCTCCACTGCTGGCACCTAATCCAAGCACTCGTAGCTCTTACCTAGATTTCTGTAAGAGATTTCATGTTCTACATCTACCCTTGCTCCATATATACAGCTTATCTTCCAGAAAATAAATCCAATCACATTACTCCTTGCTTTAAAATATTCAATATCTTCTTTTTGCTTTTAGAATAAAATCCAAAGTTCTTACTCTGGCCTAAAGTTAAGGCTGATAGTCAGCTATGGGGACCAGTTTATTTACGATGGTCATATGCTCTGGTTAGTCAGTGCCCTTGCTGCACAGCTTGCTAAATTAACTCTGAGTGTCACTCCTGCCTATGAGGTATGCTCCACTCACACTGGCTTTTTGTCCAAGGAACACATTATGCTTTGTCCCACCTAAGGGGCTTTGAACTTGCGGTCCCCTCAGCTTAATGCTCTTCCCTGAGATGTTTGTAAGTTATATTCTCAACTGAAATGTCTTGTCAGAAGAGTTGCCCTTGACTCTAACTCTATTATCTAAAGCTGTACTTGTTCAACACAGCAGCCAACAGTCAAATGTGGCTATTTAAATTAGTTTAAATTAAATAAATAAATTTATTTTCTCATTAACACTAGTGCATGCTCTCTCTCTCTCTCTCTATATATATATATATAAATAATTTTT